TGTCCTGGCAACTGCCAAGGCTGGCAGGGACTGAGAAGGGGTGCCAGGCTGGGGGCACGGGGGCCGGTGTCTCCCGGGGAGGAGGGCTGCAGTAGTTGTGGAGATCCTCTCCCTGATGGGGACTTCCCATCCCACGTCGCTGCCAGCCTGTAGAACACCCCGTTGGGAAGGACCGTGCTGGGTGGGTGGATCCCCGCCGGAGTGAGCAGCCTGCCCTCCCCCAGCCCCCCCAGCCGGGTGTCACCGCTGTCACCAGGAAATCCGCGGCTGTTTCACCACTTCCGAGGAACATCCCGACCCAGGGGCTGCAGGGGCAGCTGGGACATGCGACAGTGCTGTCCCCAAGCCTGCCGTCACTCTGGCACCCACTGGGCACAGGGTGCTGGGTGGCTCCCATGCCGGGATGCCGTTGCCATGGCAATGGGGGTGTTCAGCTCCATCATCTCCTGGCACTCCGGGCTGGCTCAGGCCGGCCCCTGCCCACATGCCCCTTGTCGCCTGGCTGCGTGGCACACGGACACGGTCTCAGCAGGTCCCTCACAGCCTGGGCCATTGCAAGCTGCCGCTCCAGCCTCGCCGGTGCCAAGCGCCGGCTGGCACATACGGGGGAGGCTGCGGCGTGGGGGGACGTAAGCGCCGTGGGGCACTGCGGCAGTGGGGCGAGTGGCAGGGCCACCACCCCTTGTCCTACCCCGCCGTGCAGAGGCCGGGCACAGGTGCTGCTGGGGAGGGCGGGGGGCACGGTGCGGGGTGGTCCCCGGTGCCCGTGGGTGCCAGTGGGGATCGCACCCACGGCCAAGCACTCCCGTTGCCATTCAGTGCCGCCGCGGCCGCTCACGGGGTGATGGGGACAAAGTGAGGACCGGGGGTGTCCTGTGCCATGGGGGGATCCCCATCTGTGCTGGCCCGGCTGGGAGGCCGAGCAGTGCCATGCGCAGGGTGGGCACAGCCGGGTGAGCACAGCCGGGTTGGCACAGCCCTCCCCAGCCACCAGTCAATCGGCAAACCGGGCGCAGGGGCTTGGCTCTGGTGGGGAGGGGGCTGCGGGGGGCGGGTATTGCCATGCTGGTCATGCGTGGGAGCCGCAGCCTCGGCGGAGCCGGGTTGGTGCCAGCCGGGAGCTGGCGGAGGGAAGGGGCCGGGCTGCGGCGCCGCCGGGGATGGGGATGCGGACGGCGCCCCGGGGACCCCCCCGGCCGTAGCGGGGCGCTGAGCGAGGGCACCGCGGCGCCGAGGTAGGACCCGAACAATGGCCGTGCTGGGAAGCAGGAGGAGGAGGAGAAAGAAGAAAGGGATTTGGGGCTGTCGCACAAAGAGCTGGGGCGGGCGCGGGGCTCCGGTGGCCCCCGGTGTGGGGCACGCTCCGGGCACCGTCCCCCGGGCAGCCCCCACGTGTCCCTTGGGGCTCGGGGTTATGCCGAGGATTGCCCTGCACCCCCGGTGCCCCCGCCCGGCAGTGCCCGGTGCCTGGTACCATGTGGGTGCTCTGTGGGGTGGCACGTCCTGCCCTGGGGCCGGAGCCCCCCGGCTTTGCCGGGGCCGGCGCGGTGCCGCCTGGCGCGGGTGGCCGCGTGGGCTGGGCAAAAGGAGCTGGGCAAAAGGAGCTGGGCAAAAGGTGCTGCTGGCCGCGGCCACGGTGCCCGATGATCTCAGGGCAACCGGTGGCATCGTGGGGTCCGGTGGCACGACCACCCCACAGATGCCCCTGGCACCTCCTCGGACCCTTTCGCGCGGGGGGGGGGTGGCGTGTCCCCGTTGCCATGCCGAGCCTCACCGGCTCCCAGGAATGTGCCGGGGCTGCGTGCCCGCCGGCACGGCCGCTGCTGGGGCAACGCTGCCGGCGCAGGGGTGGGCACCGAGGGGTGGGCACCCAGGGGTCCAGGCTCACCGCCTTTGCCCACCCCGCCGTGCAGGGAGCAGCCTGGAGCCCGAGGAGCGCAGCATGGAGCCGCCGGCCGTGCCGGAGGAGGAGGAGGAGGAGGAGGGGGCGGTGCCCCTCTCCATGGCGCCCGGCCCCGTGGGCTGCCAGCTCTTTGGATACGTGGGAATCGAAGCTGTGCTCGACCAGATGAAAATCAAAACCATGAAGACAGGCTTTGAGTTCAACATCATGGTTGTGGGTGAGCGCTGGGCGTGGGGTTTGCTCCTGGGTGGGGTGGGAATACTGGCTCTGATTCCACCATGCCAGGGGAAATTATGCTTTTAAGGGATTTTAAGGAAATTTAAGTGATTTTAACTGATTTAAGTAGCAAGCAATTGAAAATGAGTAATATCCCCTACTGCACAGCATAGTCATGCTGATAGGTGAGCTCATCCCAACATGTGAGATGCTCCCAAATTGATGTTGAGGGGCTCTCGCCTTGGGGAATAAATTTGTTTGGAAGATAAACCAGAGTAGCCCAATCTGGGATGCTCTTATATGTGTACCAGGGGTTATGACCTTGGGGAATAAATATGTTCCTGGGATAAAATGGACTATCCCAACCTCTGAGATGCTCCCAAGTGGATACCAAGGGCTTATTGCCTTGGGGAAGAAATTTATTTGGGGATAAGCCAGAGTTGTTCCAAACTCTGCGTTGCTCCCACGTGGATATCAAGATGTTACTGCCCTGGGGACAAACCAGAGCTGCTGATGTCCCCTCAGGGCAGAGTGGGCTGGGGAAGTCCACGATGGTGAACACCCTCTTCAAGTCCAAGGTGAGCCGCAAATCCTCCCAGCCTGGCCAGGAGGAACGTATTCCCAAAACAGTGCAACTCCAGTCCATCACCCACGGTAAGGTCACCGCCACGGCGGCGTGTCCCACCAGCCCCTGGGACAAGCAGGGGACTGGGCTGGGGTCTGAAGCTGTGTTCACAGCCTCAAAACATCCCCCGTGCCTGGTCCCCTGCTTTTCCCCAATGTTTCTTCCCCCCTGACCCATGTCTGTACCCCACAGTCATCGAGGAGAAGGGGGTGAAGATGAAGCTGACGGTGACTGACACACCAGGGTTTGGGGACCAGATCAACAATGAGAACTGGTAGGACACAATGGGGAGCGGGAGCCCAGCTCGGTGGCTGGCAGTTTGGGGTAGAGGTTGAGCTCAGGTGCTGTCCCTCAACTCCTCATCCTCAGCTGGGACCCCATAATCAAATACATCAACGAGCAGTACGAGAGATACCTGCGGGAGGAGATCCTCATCACCCGCAAGAGGAAGATCCCAGACACCCGCGTCCATGGATGCGTCTACTTTGTCCCCCCAACAGGTCACTGGTGAGTCCCCACTCACAGCACCCGTAGGTGAGGGGGTCACCGTGTGGTGGTTGTGCCACCCTGAGGTGATGGTGGTGGAGTCTGGGGTGATAATGATGGGGTCACCCTGAGGTGATGGTGGTGGAGGAACCTCAGGGTGACTCTGGAGTGGTAGTGTTGTGGTCACCCCTTGGTGACAGTGGCGGGGTGGTCACTGTGGGGTGGTTGTGTCACCCTGGCATGATGATGGTGGGGTCACCCCAGGGTGACAGAGATAGGGTATCAACCCGGGGTGGTAGTGGGGAAAGTCCCTCAGGGTGATGGTGCTGGGGTCACCTCAGAGTGACCCTGGGGTGGTAGTGGCGGGGTCACTCCCCCAGTGACAGAGGTGGGGACACCCTGGAGTGACGGCGGCCCTTGTCAGGCTGCGCCCGCTGGACCTGGAGTTCATGCGGCGGCTCAGCAAGATCGTCAACGTGGTGCCGGTGATCGCCAAAGCTGACACGCTCACCCTGGAGGAACGGGCAGAATTCAAGCAGAGGGTGAGGACAGGTCCCCAGTGGGCTCCTGGGCTGCCCCATGTGCCGCCCAGCCCCGGCTCAAGCCTTGTGTCCTGCAGATCCAGGAGGACTTGAAGACCCACGCCATCAGCGTGTACCCGCAGGAGGACTTCGACCAGGACCCCGAAGACAGGGCCCTGAACGACAGGATTCGTGTGAGTGCCGGGGTGCTGGGACGGAGGGGCCAGCCCCTGGGGAGCAGGGTGAGGGACAGGGACCTGGGGACTCCCGGGGAGAAGCACCCGGGGCGAGCACAGCCTCTGCTGGCAGGAGAAGATTCCCTTCGCCGTGGTGGGGGCAGACCAGGAGCACCAGGTGAACGGCAAGAGGGTGCTGGGCCGCAAGACCAAGTGGGGCATCATAGAAGGTGAGCAGAGCCCCTCACACCCGCAGCCCCCGCAGGTGCAGGGAGCAGCACCCAAGGGGTATCTTTGCCTGGGTGGGTGCTGAGCCATGGCAGGTGGCACGGAGCTGTGCTGTGCCCTGGCGGTACCCAGAGCATGCCGGGATGCACTGCCCAGGCATCCCAGCGCCACTGAGCCCTCCTGCCAAGCCTGCCCCTCTGCCTTGCCTTGCAGTGGAGAACCCAGCGCACTGCGAGTTCCCCCTCCTGCGGGACCTGCTGATCCGGTGAGCGGGGACAGGGTAGGGAGTGCTGGAACCCCACGGGGTGACAGCAGGGTGGGGGGGACAGTGACGTGATGCCCTTCCTCCCCCTGCCACCCGGGCAGGTCACATCTGCAGGACCTGAAGGACATCACCCACAACGTCCACTACGAGAGTTACCGCGTGCGGCGGCTGAACGAGAGCAACCGGCCGGGGCTGGGCCCCCTCAATGGGCTGCCCGGCAAGGGCGAGGCCAGCAGCCACCTCTGAGCCTCCCAGTGCCCCCCAGACCACCACTGGACCCCATGGCAGTGCCCACCCCTGCCCACCATGGCTGTGCCAGGAACCTGCCTGGGGTGAACCCCCCTAGAGTGCCCAGCTGCCCTGACATGTGTCCCTCGTCCCAAGCTCTGCCCTGGGCACAGACCCCCGGACCCTGTGTGACATTAAAGGTTAATCCAGAGCCTTCAGCCTTCACCCTCCTGTTGGGCTCCCAACTTTTGATGTGCCACCTCCCTCCTGTGCTGCTCTGGCTGCTGTGGCTCCCCCAGGCACGCTGGGGAAATGGAGGTGCTGCCTGTGGGGTGTGACGAGGGTGCAGATGCCCTCCTCACGGCCACATCGCCCGCCCTGCCCAGTGAGGCAGCTGGCACAGCTGGACTTTGAGCCGCTTATCAGGTGGTGGAGGTGCCAGGAGGGGAGCGGAGGTGCCGGAGGGGTGTGGAGCTGTCGCCCGCTAGGGTGTGAAGGGGCTACACCCAGCTGTGGCATCCCCCTGCCAGGGGCACCGTACTGGTGCAGCCCCTAAACCCCTCAGGGGAACCCAGTGGGTGCTGCCCCGCTGGCTGCCAAGCCCTGGTACCTGTCAAGGTGTCGGGGTGCCCCCCCGGTACTCTAGGGGTGCACGAAAAGCCCTTTTGTACCTCCTGCCGTGGGCAGGGCTGGGGCTCGCTGCCAGGACGGTGGCACATGGTGGCTTCCTGCCCGCCCCGGCCCCACCGCCCGGCTCAGCGTCCCCGCCCTTTGCCCAGCCCCGCGTTAATGATCCACCCGCGGCCGCCAGCCCCCAGCAGCCACCGGCGTGCTGGCAGCGGCAGCAGAGCCGGGGGTCCTTGGCACGGGCGGCTCGGGGGGGCTGGCGGCTCCCTGCCCTGCGCCCCACCCCTCTTCCCCGGCAGCCAGATAAGAGCGGCTGCGGGCAGCACCGGTGCCCAGCGCGGCGTGGGCACAGCGGCCGCGCCATGGCCACGGTGAACCTCCGCGCCCTGACCTCCTGGGTGGGCATCGCCCGGCTCCTCGCCCTCGTGCTGTCCTGCCTCACCTTCAGCCTGGTGGCCTCCACCAGGGACTTTGGGGATCCCTACGGGACGTGGTGCATGTTCACCTGGTGCTTCTGCTTCGCCGTGACGCTGCTGGTGCTGCTGCTGGAGCTGCTGGAGCTCTACCCGCTGCTGCCGCTCTCCTGGGATGACTTCACCTCGGCTTTCTCCATGCTGGCCGCTCTGATGGTCTTCACCTCCTCGGTGGTGTTCCCTGCCACCTTCATCAAGAGCCCCTGCAGCGGCAGCCAGTGTGCCCGGCAGGCCGTGGCCACCGCCGCCTCCTGCCTCTGCTTCCTCGCCTACGCCACCGAGGTGTCGCTGACCCGCGCCAAGCCCGGGGACATCAGCAGCTTCCTCTCCACCGTGCCTGGGCTCCTCAAGGTCTTTGAAACCTATGTGGCTTGCCTGATCTTCTCCTTGCTGCAGGACTTGTATAAGGAATCTGGCCTGATATGGTGCGTGGCTGTCTACTCCATCTGCTTCATCTTCACCCTCCTCATCATCATCTTCACCATCGGCCGCTGCCTCACCTACATTCCCTGCCCTCTGGAGAAGGTGCTGGTGGGCTACAACTTCCTGGCCATGCTGATGTACCTCACTGCCACCATCATGTGGCCTCTCTACAACTTCCGGGGACAGAGCCGCCCCAATTCCTGCGACAAGTACTGCCCGTGGAACAGGCACCTGGGGGTCACCTTCCTCACCATCTTCAACTTCATCGCCTACTTGGTGGACCTGGTCTACTCCACCAGGATGGTCTTTTTCAGGGCGCCTCCCTAAGGGCTGGGGATGGGGCTGGGGGTGGTGGGACGCGGCTGGTGCCGGTGCCGGTGCCGGTGCCGGTGCCGGTGCGGGGCTGCCGGCGGAGCTGAGGAAGGGGCCGGATGCCTCGGAGAGCTCCTTGTCCCCGTGCTGGAGCACAGAGCCAGGGAGTGCCCCAGGGGTGCGCTCAGCCCGGGCCCCACGGGCTGCACACAGGGGGCTGGAGGGGCCACGAGGGGCTTGAGGGGGCTTTGGGATTAAATTGGGTCATTTTTCACTTGTTTCTGCCTCCTCTTTCTTCCCTTTCCCAACCTGCTGCAGGATCCCTGCTGGGAGGTGAGAAACCGGGGGGCACCACTGGCACTGGGAGCCGTGGGTGACTTTGGGGGGCACCAGCAGCACTGTGGGGGCACCAGGCTCCAGAAAACCCTTCCTACTCCTTGTTGACTCGGCACTGGAGTGAAGCAGGGCATGACCAGGAAAAGCCCAACCCGGATGCCTTTTTCTTGGCACCTGCACAGGGCCCTGACAAACAGGTTCAGGAGGAATGCAGCTCTTGGGGGGGCTGAGAGCCCGCCAGGTACTTGTCACCAGCATGGTCGGGTCCTTGTCACCACCACAGTAACCCCAGTGGGAGCCCTGCTGGGTTTGGTCCCAACCATGTAGGCTGGAGTCCCCCTTTGGGGGCCGCTGTGGTGTCCCCTCCCAGGGGGAAAATGGGGAGGAGGGTGGCTGCCACCCAGTGCCACCAGAGCTGGGGCTGCTGACACACAGCACGGGGGGACAGTGACACCGCAGGCTGGTATGTGGGAAGAAGGCAGCGGTGCAGGGCGGGCAGGGAAGGTGTGCCTGCAGGCAGAGCTCCTGGCACCGCGCTCCCGGATGTGGGAGGGGTGCCCGTGGGGCGCCCTGGCAGGTTTTGGGGCCACTGTCCCCACACTGCTCCTTCTGCCACTGCTTGTCCTGGCCACAGCCTGAGGCCATCCCTGATGCCTTGGGACCGTGTCGGGGCCCATCACCACTGCCCTGGGGCTCACAGGGTGACACAAAATGGGGTCCCCACCACCAGGAGGTGGCACAGACTGGCAATCACAAAAGAGCTGACAGGTGCCCCAGTGCCTGGGCAGGTGGGACTTGTGTGGCCAGTGCCAGGGCCACTGCAGTGCTGGGTCCCAGCAGTGCCAGTGATGGCAACACCACAGGGTGGCCTGGGGGTGTCCCCTTTGCCCGTTCCCTGTCCCCACAGTGGCCATCACGCTGGCACTGATGGGCCACTCCCCTGCACCCCAGGCAGCAGGGATGGAGGGAACGGCAGAGTTTTGGGAGGAAATAACAGGAAAATGACAGTGGCAAGGCACAGCCCGGTACAGCAATGCCCAGGATGATGGAAATTAGCGGAGGAAGGAGGATGAGAGGCGCAGGGAGTGACAGAGGTGTCTCTGGCGATGAGCTGTGCTGGCAACGTGTGGCTGTGGGTGGCACGTGGGCAGTGCCAGCACGTGGGGTGTGGTGAGGCTGTGGGACAGGGGCCAGGCTGGCAGCGGGGTGCAGGTGAGTGGCTGGAGGGGCTTTGGGGGTTCCCGGCGGGGCGCAGCCCAGGAGCCCCACGGGCACGCGGCGGTGCTGGGGGTCGCTGGGGGGACCTGAGACCTGGTGGGTGCGGGAAGCCCCGGCGCCGGTCTGTGCCGTGCCAGGGAGCCCAGGCGCTGGAGGGTCTCACGGTGCCGTGGTGCCGGTGTCGCTGTCGCTGCGGTGCGGTGCCGTTGCCGGTGCGATGCGGTGCCGGTCCAGGTGCGGTGCCGGTGCGGTGCCGGTGCATTCCTCCCCCTAGGGGTCGGTGTGCCGCGGCGCGGGAGGCGGTGCGGGGGGCGGCTCGCTCCTGCGCACGGCCCGGGACGGCCGGGGCACGGCGGCGGCTGCGGCGGCGGTGGGAGCGGGCACCGCCGCGNGGCCGGTGAGTGCGGGCAGCGGGGGGCGGCGGGGCCCGGCCCGGGGGGTGCGGCCGCGGACAGCGGTGGGGAAGGGGCGGCTGAGCCCGGCCGGGGGGCTCCTCCTTTTCCACCCGGCGGGGGCCGGTCTGAGCTGCCGGGATGGGGAGGGGAATGCCGTGCCCCGCAGTGCTCCCGTGAGTCCCCGGGCTGTCCCCTCCCGTTTGCCGGGGCTGCCTCTGCCCGCGGTATTGGGGTTCCTGCACCTGGCACCAGCACCCAGCCCTCTGCCCCGTCAGCAGGGTGTCCCTGAGTCCCCCAGGGATGCCCCTGTAGCCTCAAATGGCTTTGTGGCCCCAGGGACACTCCCGTATCCCCCGGTACCCCCAAAGATGCTCTTTTGTCCCGCTATGACCCTGTGCCCCCAAGGATGTCCCTGTGTCCCCAGCTGGACAAGTTGCCTCCAGACAAAATCCCATGTGAGCCCCTATGTGCCCTTCCAAGGCCTGACCCCCCATCCGGGGTGACTTTCAGGAGGGCCCCCATGCTCTCCCTTCTCTCTGGGGCTGGGGGGCACATCCAGGAGCCCCCTGAGCTGTCCTGACACTCACACTGAGCATCCCCAGCCCTGGCTGGAGAGGCGAGGGAGTGTGACAGCCTGGCAGTGCCATGGGTGTGGTGGGTGCTGGGGGGCAGCCCCAGGGTGGGTGCTGGCTGGGACAGGTGCTGGGGGAAGCCTCGGGGAAGGGGATGCAACTCCTGCCCAGGGAAGGGATGTCCTCCGTCAGGGACATGATCCTCTGCTCCCGGGGAGCACCCCTCAGGACAGGACAGTGTGGGTGCCCAGAGGTGGGTCCCCAGGAGCATCGGGCAAGTGTGACCCCATCCTCATTCCCTACGATCCTCTTGCCGCACTGGCCACCACAGCTGGGTGGGGATGCGGCACCCCGGAGGGACGGCACCCTATTTTGGGGGGACACGTGTGCTCCAAGGGGACGCGTCTGTCTGCCTGGCAGGGAAGGGGTTAACGCCGGGAGGGTTTTGGGGTGCCGGGGTGTCCCCAGCTGGGTACACTCAGGCCGCTCCTCGCACGGGTGACCTCACGCCACTGCCATGGCAACGGCTCGTGAAGTCACCGCCGGCGGGGCGGCTGCCTCGAGCTGGGGGTGCGGGGACGGAGCGTGGGAGGCAGCGCCGCGTCCCCCCCGCCCGCTGCCCGCCGCCCCCAGCATGAGCCGCGTCCCCGGCAGCGCCGACGCCTCCGCCTGACCCCCGTCCTGCCCGCCGTGCCCGTGTCACCCTGCCCGAGGTGTCACCATGCTCGTCAAGGAGTACCGCATCTGCATGCCGCTCACCACCGAGGAGGTGAGCGGGGCCCGCCGGGCGGGAGCGGGCACGGGCATCCCATGGAGGGGGGTGGGTGCGGGTCTCATGCCCAGGGGATCGGTTCCTGCCCTGGGAGGGACACGGTGACCCCTTTGCTGTCTCCTCGTGGCATGGCTTGTGGCAGGGATGGGGATGGGCTAGGGATGTTCCGTGCAAGGGCCGAGCCGTACTTTGGGGTGCGGGTGGGGGGACAGCCTGTCCCTGGGCACGGCGACCTCGGGGCACAGAGCCCGACGGCAGCACCGGGGCACAGGAGGACCAGGGGACGGACCAGCAGGCGGAGGCCACCGGGGTTTGGATGCCCATGGCACGACAGGGACCATAAACTCCATCCCTGCTCCGGCAGGGAGCCTGAAGGCCATCGGCGAACAGCGCTGACAAGTGGCAGCAGCCCTGGACAAGCATCTCTCCCCGGTGCCTCCGTTTTGGGGAGTGGTGTCCACCCTCGGCAGTGCCGTCCCTGCTTGGAGGCACCGGGAAAGGTTTTAATTTAGGCAGAGTGAGGTGGTAAAATCCTGCTGGCGATTGCAGTGGTGGATGGGATCTTCAGCAGAACAGTCCAACCCTCATTGCACAGCTGCATCCCCAAACACACATCTACACCCTCATGGTTATATACCTGACACATCCAGATATATCACATAGATTATATCATACAGACATTTTTCCCTGTCTCCCAGGTAGTTTGCCAAGCAGAAAACCTTCAGGAATTCTGCAAGGTACTGCTCTCCTGTGCAAAGAGAGCACAGGGAGAGCAGGATCCAGCCCTTGCCAGGGAGCTGGGACAGCCTAGGGATATGGGAGGTCACACAGGGTGCCCCTGGAGCCCCCTGCCCACCGCACGCCTCAGGCTCTGTGCCTCAGTTTCCCCTCTCGGCAGCGTGGCTCAGCCCCCAGGCTGTGCCGGGCGGTCACCGGGGTCGGTGGCACTGAGGGCGGGATCTGTGCTTGCAGTACCGCGTGGGGCAGCTCTACACCATCAGCAAGCACAGCCACCAGGAGAGCGAGAAGGGCGAGGGCGTGGAGGTGGTGAAGAACGAGCCCCACGAGGATCCCGTGCACGGCCCCGGCCAGTTCACTGAGAAGCGTGTCCACCTCTCCAGGTGAGCCTGTGGTGGCTGCTGGGGGGCTCTGCAGGGGCAAGGTGGGGCATGGGCAGGCAGCTGGGTGGCCTCAGCTCTTCCTCCAATATTCCTGGGGAACCTCCTTCCTGGGTCCTGGGCATGCTGCTGAGTGGCTGATTCCCAGGGCTCCCTCCATCATTTCCCAGGGGTGCCCCCATCTTCTGGGGTGCATTGATCTTGGGGGCTGCACCCATCTCCCAGGCACCCACCCATCTTCAAGGGCTGTCTGTGTGTCCCCCAGTGAGGTCCTCAAGTCCTGGGCTGCACCCATCTTTGGGGTGTGCATCCAATTTTGGGAGCTGCCCTTATCTCTCAGGATGTACCCATCTCCTGGGGTGCTCTTATCCTGGGGGGCCGCACCCATCTCCTGGGGTGCCGGGCACTGCACCCATCTTTGAGAGCCATGTCCCAGGGTGTACCCATCCTAGGGGTTCACACCCTCTCTGGGGGGCTGCCCTCTCCTCATGGGGTGCACCCACCCCAGGACATGCACCCACCTCTCAGGGGTGCGCCCCCCTCCCTGGTGGGCACCCACCTCTGGGCACTGATGGGTGCCTGATGGGGGCTTGGCAATGCCCTGGCCCTGGGGGTGTCACCGTGGGGCAGTGGCTGGCCCTCAGCAGCACTGTCCCCATGTCCCCTCAGCTGCCTGCGGACTCGAGCTGCTCCCCACCAGGAGCTGCTGGTGTGAGACAGGTTATTTTTAGCTGCAGCACTCACGATTCCCCTCTCGCCTGAAATTTATTTATAACGCCTGAAAATTAATCAAAACCCACCTCCCGACTCCCCAGGGGGCCCGATCCTGCCGGGG